GGCTAGAGGACCAGAGGAACAGCTCTGCTCCTTCGCAGTCCGCGGTGGAATGAGCAACTTACGGGGTGTTCTCCAAGGTTTTTGTCTGTTACCAGCAACTCTTGGAAGGCGTACAGGCTTTGCTTGGCCGTAAATACCGGAGTGCTAAGCAGTCCCCCACCTCTCCCCGGACCCCCTCCCCCTCCCCGCCAAGGATTACTGAGTCCTTTTAAGGCAAAGGGATGCGTTTTTTAAAGAGCATGAGTTCCTGTCCTTTTCCTGCAGCAAATTTTCTAAAACCTGTCGTCATAAAACAACAATCTTGTCTCAGAAGTTTATTCTTTTAATGGATATTGTTTGCTATTGCGTTTCCTTAATGTCCTGAAGGCAGTAATCTGTTGATCTCTTCACAGTAGCTCATTTCCAGTACTTCTCGCTCCAGGATTCTCCCAAATCATATTTACAAGGAATTATTTAACAATTTTGAGGAAGAAAGCTGTTCTGAGGTATGCCAACAGATAGAGCTTTACAAATCCAGTCATCAGGGGTATATTTCTAGAACTAGTTTCAGGTAAACTTGTTAAACTCTGGAACTAACTTTGATGTTTAATGAAAATTATTTCTCTGGACCACAATGAAGTAGATACTGGAGTAGCAGGAGAAAAGAGCTTTCACGCCCATAAAATGAGCAGGTACTTGCTTAAAAATCACTATGGGCTACAGCCCAGCAGATGTCACTATACAGAAGGACTATGGAGGGTAGTTTCTTCACCTTGTTTCTTATAATTTTCTTTATGAAGAAAAGCAGATCACTAAATTCTTATAAACGGTATCACAGAAAATACGAGTGCAAAATCATTGCCGGAGTGGGGTAGTTAAAGTAAATCTCAGGTAGGAGGGTAAATAATGAGGCAATTAAGACATGTCTTTCATGTGTATAAGCATCAGCTGTTATGTCCAGTCTACATAAAAATATCTCTAACTCTGTATAGTTGAGATATGAAAGGATCACATCAAATAAGAGTTTAAAATTATATTCCAGAGCCAATATTATCTTCAAATGTCTGTTTATGAAAGAAATTTCTTATTCAATGGTTGTATTACTTTTAAAAATGTAAGAGTTAAACTAATTTTGTGATGATTCATGCAATTAAAATGTGAGCAGCTCCTTGACATGAGTTTGTAGTAATAAATTTAACCCACCAAATATCCGACGGTATCAGAAACCAGATGTAAACATGTAAGCACTATGCGCATTTCTCTAAAATACTTCTGAAATTAAGACCCAAGTTATATATTGACCACTCTTATATTCCTACTGATAAAATGCTGATGTTTGAGTCAGCATTAAATTAAGGAGGGATAAGAATAAATAATCAGAATGAAGACTGCTGTGAGCATTAACAAGTTATATAATTTATATATTAATTTAGAAATATGGAGCCATTGGGCACTGATTAATCTGTAAATCCACATAAGGTAGAATGCATTATACGTTTTATTTTAAGTTTCGGGAAACCAAGATAAAGAAATATAATAACATGATATGCACGTCAAATTGTGTATTTACAAGGGAATTTAATCAATTTACGAAACCCAAGGAATTAGCTTAATCTCTCTCACATCTTCACAAACCTTTTGAGACCATGACAAAGCTTAAATTGAATCGATCTAGGAAACTTGTGCTGCAATTCCCTCTATCTTGCCCAAATAAATTTGTTTTCATCATATTTGATTGAATGGTATTTGCTTAGTGCTGAGACACTTACCATAGGCCATGCCTCAAAATGAGTTATGAAAATATTGATAGGCATTAGCCAAGGCCGGTTCAAGAACAAGCACACAATTAGTACTCATGGTTGCCTGGAACCTGAGCAATACAGTGAAATTTTAAGAGTGGCAATAGGTTCCCCTAAGAAGATTTATCTCTGCCCCCATTTCTTCAAACTGCTTAGGAGCCTAAAATACCTTAACAAATCAGGACTTATATAAGAAACATTGGTAGTCAATGTCACTTTTCTAAGATACAGTCTTTGACTCTGCCTTTACATTTGGGAAACAATATTAGCTAATATAAGCCAGTTTAGGAAAGGAGGACACTAAATGGATCTATAGGACTAATGACACAATTAAAATTTAGAGGCCACTGATTACAGTTTGCCCTCATCAAAATGTCTTAGAAAAAACATCCAACTTAAAATACTTAGAATCATTCTCATTAAGATGTTAAAGAAATGATGGAACATCTTTACACTAAAGCTTCTCTGCTGAAGTATCGTGATCTTATTTTCAATATTTGATATTTTTGGTGGTCCTGAAAAAAAGCCTAACTTCAATTCAGACTGATTTTGAGTGAGGTACCCATCTTTTCTTTATGAAATAGATGTGCAGCCAAGAATTCTCTTATTTTAAACTTAAAGAAAATAGATTGCTTTCGGATTTTTCCCCATCATACAGATGAGCTATATGAATAAACTTTAACTAGAGAGCCTTAATCCTGCATATTGAAAATTGTCTTGTTAGTCATAACTAATATTTGTCATGAGAGAACATAGACCATATACATTCCAGGGCACTTCATATACTATATGAACAGCATTTTTAATGACGTTACTATTTTACAAATGAGAACATTGAAAGTTTTCCAAAATTCACATGGATAGTAAGTTTTGAAATAAAAACTCAGGCATGACTGCCTTACTACTACCTTATATTTTTCAATATGAACGTGTTACACTTGTTTCCTCTCCTCTCCTTTGCTCTTTAACTCTTTTTCCTATCTTCCTCCTTTTCTCAACTTCCATATGTTAGCCCTTTAAATTTCCTGAACTGTATCTTTAGAAAATCTGTACTTCACAAGCATATTTATATTGTCTACATCAGGCTCGCTTCTCTTTGGGTTACCTTAACTGCTGTGAGACCAAGCCGGTCAAACAGGTCTAGTCTGGAAGTCTGTGTGTGGAATTGCTATCTATTTGTGCAGTCAGGCTTTAGTATTTCCTCCATTAAAAACATTCTTCATTTTTCATTAAGATGAATGTATCTTTACTCTCATTCTTAACCCATTACTAATCTATATCCCTGACCCTTGATCTCTTTTTCTGTTGATATGTAGTAGACTCTAGGATTCTCAATTTGTACGGTCCCTGGCATTAAACAAAATAAACCAAAGAGGGAAACTGACCATGAAGAGAATTTTTATTGTTTGCTTCTGTTTAACTTAATAATTTTAAACCGAATGAATGTGTAAGCTTTTATAAAATTCAAAGTTTAATTCTCCAACATTTCTTTAAGTACTTTTAAACATCTCAAACACAATAAAGTACCATATTTCCTAACTCAACCAAAATAAGGGCATGTCGCTTCTGTTTATACATTACAGTATTTCAAATGTAAAGGTAGAATAGTAAGAAATTTCAGTAGTAAGAGTCTGTTAGTGATTTTATTCCTCTAATATGTGCAGGTGACAAAGTTGTAAAAAAGAGTGTTGCCATCACTCATGCTTTCATCACGGGACAAAATATAAACTGTATTTGTTTTGTCTTTGTTGGAATATTTCATGTGAAACCTCAATGAGAAAAGTATATGTCTTTGAGATTAACTGTATAGAACTGCAGTTGCAAAATAACCAACAGCTATTTAATAAATAATATTCTTAAATTGAATATATACATACATGCCCATGGCAAAGCTGCTTTTATGAATCTATTGTATCTAACCGTCTCTTTCTTTACACTTGGGAGTACAAAACACTTTACCATATCTATTCTCATAGGAAAGCCACAAGAGGACTGTGTAAGTGCCTCTGATTGTCAGACGTGTACAATGAAGCTCAAAAATAATAACCAGCTGGCGCAATGAATTTAAGATTGCTAATTGACTCCCCTCTAAGCTCTTCAACATGGTCAAAGGCCTTTTCCATGTAATCTTCAGATTTTACTATTTTTCTATTCTTTATGGACTTTTAATGGTTGACTAGAAAGTAGAATACTATTAATTTGTATAAACAACTTTCATATCATAGCAGAGGCATTCTCATAACAAAAATCATATGACAAACTCAGTCCTCTTCTATACCAGGGATTTCAGAAAAGAGAGGGTTGTGTAGTAAATTTTAAAATCATCAACTACTTATTTTTATTTATTAATATACTACTTATTTCATGGTATATACTGCTTTGAAATTTCAAGTGACATTTAATAACTTTAAAGAAGGATACACAATTTTTAATTTTTTTAACGAATGACATAAGTTAAAATATGCAGCCCTCAGGGTACATTTCAATAAAATATTTTTCCTTGATGTGGACTGGGACTGTGTCCATTGCAATGGGCTCTCTGAACTTTAGACTGGAAGTGTGCAAGAAGGGAGTCTCATTTAAAGAACATGTGTTACTTAATAGATATTTTTACAGAGTATTTATTTTATGCTCCACAACAGCTTTAAAAAGAAGATACAACTATTTGCATTATGCAAACAAGAAAGCCAATTCAGAATTTTTGAATTCCCTTGCTGGGGCCCTGCCCCTGGGCAATAAATTCAGATCTGCCACTTCCTGCTTCCCACTACCATTGTGGCATTAATCTAATAGTTTAGTATATAGGAAAGGGGAGTGACCTTTACCTTTCCTCCTAAGGCTATTTAAGTTCTGAAGAAGGTTTTCTGTTATTGTTGGACACTTAACACTTTATCTCACAGATATGAATTATAAATGCAGACACTTGATCTTCATCACGAAATTATAAATACTTTGGGAGCAAAATCACTGTGTAATCTCCTCTGGATCTTTTAGAATAGCTAGAATTAAGATAATATAGATAGAGAAGGATTTCGGGGGATGTGAGTGGAACAGAAGAAG